AAAAAAAAAAAAAAAAGAGGCTTTTCTCTGGTAAAACGGGCTTTGAGATCCACTCTTGTGGATAAGGCGCTAAAACCAGCGGCTGAAACTGTCGTAAAAAATTACAATAGGAGGCCGCTCTCACAAGGGGAGACTACGACGATGGAACAATCGATTTGGACGAAACTTATAGGATCGATAGATGATTATGTGGAGTATTGCAGGGTAAAGTAATAAGACGCACTACTCAAGCATTCGCGAGAAAATCGAATTTGAAAATTTTGATGAAGCTTATGAGGATATTAAATAGGCTGTTTAATCAAAGATCACGTAGCGTAGAGGTAGCGTACTAGGTTAGTAGTGTCGACGCTGCTGGTTCGAGTCTCGATATATTTTTTTTTTTTTTTCAAATGTTACAATATAATCTAAATGTAAGTATTACGTTTTTTATTTATTTATTGCATGTTATAAAAGTGCATTTTTGGTATAAAAAATCCGTGATGTAAAAAATACGATAAAAATACTTAGATTGTTACTAATTTGTGTTCTGTTTGTAAAAAACGGATAAATAATTGTACGCAACATGTAAAAATATATGCAATATGTTTTAAAGCACACACATTTCTTTGTAATATGTGTTGAACGTTATACCTTTGAAAGAAAATATTATGTTCTTGAAAAGTAGAAAACAGACAATGAGTAAACACGAGAAAATTTCCGTTACATTGTGAGAAACAAGATTTCATCCATTTGACTGGTAACAGCGAGAGTAGACAGAAAAGAAGAAAAGTGTGCAGTGCTAATTAAATTGGAAGATACATTAAAATGGAAGGTGTACCTGGTTCTTCATTCCATAGCGGCACGGAATGCGCGAAACCAGCACGACCAATCATAACCATAAAAAGCGAAGGAAAAAAAACTGAAATAACGGAATGGCTATGATTGGTCACGCTGGTTCCACACCTCTGACAAAAATAAGAAGCTTTACAGAGCGTTGATAACCGTTTAATGAGAATTTTCGGAGAGTTTATACGCTTTCAAACTTTATAAGAATGCTTATATAACGCCAAAAGGTTTGAACTCTTTTCGAACGCTTATCAAATGCTATATATAATGTTTTCTAAACATTCTGCAATGCTAAGATAACGCTTTTCACAAAACGCTCAGTAAATAGTGATAAATTTTTGTACAAAGAGTTTGCTGATAGACATTTCAAACGGTTAGCAAATGCTTTTATGAGTAAGTAATAAAAAATATTAAAAACTACCCATTCAAAATCAATTCATTTATTATAACTCAGTTTATTGTAAGAATAAGAAGACTATTGATATATTACATATATTTAATATATTAAATTATTTAATTATATTGAGATAAATTTTATGTAATAGCTTTATGTAATTTAATATATATTACATTATTTAATATAATTACTAATTAGTATATATTTTTAAATTTAAAAATAGCAGTCAGTAATTGCGTAGCAAGTGACACTTTTGCATACAAAAAATTTTCGTATAAATTTAAGAATTGAAGTCTAGATTAACAATTATTAAACACTTACAAACGCTTACAAGTTTATACACAGAGAGAACGGTTTCTTTAAATTTAATAATCCGATTTGTTTGACTCATATTTGTTGCATTCAAATAACATAATTTTATATCAAACAACAATTTTATTGAATGAAACTTTGTATTGTTACGTTATAATAAATCATAATATGAAGGAAATAATATAAGTGCTTGAAATAATTTATTTCAACAAAATTATGTTTTATTAGGATTTTTTCATTAAATAAAGCATTATTTAATGAAAAAATCAATTTTTAACATAAATGTAACAGACTATATTTGATTTAAATATAGCATTATTTGCGACCAAAAATTTGCTCGCGTTGTAAAACTGTACAGACGGCGTCATTAATTCGAAGAATAGGCGCGGGGATCGGAGGGCAAGCGGGGCGTAGCGCCAACGGGCGCCGTACTAACTAACTAGTAGCAATCAGGTGTCCACAACTGGACACCTGATTTTGGGACTAATGGATATTTGGATCAACTGGACTTTTTATGTGATCCCCGCGCCTATTCTTCGAATTAATGACGCCGTCTGTACTTTAAATCATATTTAATAATAATAGAGAAAGAAATATTTTTACCCATTGCAGATACATTGCACTGCACTTTTAATAAAATAATATTTTAAAGAAATAATAAATGAACTGTAAGATAGCTTGAGAATAAGTAGATAAAAATAATCACATTTTAGTAAAGAACAAGTAGTCTTGCGGACTGAGTGCAAGTGCTGCGAATATGACGGAGGCGTCTCGATTTCGAATCCCGCTATCATCTTAGGATTTTTTCAGGTCCGGTCCCTTTTAATGGAATTTATCAGTTGATTGGCGAGCTGACCGGGCTTCCAAAAATTAATTCAAGTGAAATCTCTTAGCTGTGTGAAAGCGCAAGTCGCGAAAAATTCTTTTATTGAATTTTTAGATGTATTTAACTTAATAAACTAGTTTGTTTCGTCTCATGCTTAACGTAAACACTATGCAAACTTTCAGAAACGCTTTATACAAACGTCTTTCAAACGCTGTAGCGTTGCAATTTCCGCTTTATGAACTTTTTACTGACCGTTTCAAAATTTTCTACGAACTTCCACAAAACGCTCATACAAACGTCTCAAATAAACGTTTATAAAACTTCTCATTTTTGTCAGGGACATTCCGTTCTGCTATATATTTGGCCTGGTTTATGCAGGCAAGTAAAGGCCAAAGCACATACTTTTGCATAACGCATAAGACATAAGAATCAACCAATCAAAGCTTTCTAGAACAAGAAGTAGGGATAAAAACAAAAAGCTGGAGTGGTTGATTTTCTTATGTCTTATGTGTTATGCGTTATGCAAAAGTTTGTGCTTTGGTTTTAAGACCTTGGTTAGACCTTGTTTATGCGGGTAATAACTGTTAACTTATGCCGGAACTGGTCATGTCACTAGTGTCATCTATTAAAAAGAATCAGAAAATAATTATCGCGTGTCGTTCAAATGTCAGTCTGCCGCACATATTTTGACAAGTCACACTACGCTTGACATTTGACAGAAGTGTTTGTTTTGGTCGGACGTGTTTTGCGTGTACGGCATACAACTAAAATGAAGATCAAAAATTGCATTTTCGCCATATTTTGCTGTTTTTATTCCGTAAAGGATATAAAACGGCGGACGCTAAGCGCGAAATATGCGCCATGTATGGTACCTTGGCCTTAAGCGCAGACACATGCGAAAGATGGTTTGCTCGCTTCCGTTCCGGAGAATTTAACCTCCAAGATGCACCACGCTCTGGACGGCCAAATTCTGTTGACGACGATCAACTCCTGGCTACAGTGAAGAGTGATCGACACTTAACGACTCGAGAGATTGCGAAGCGCTTCGGCATTTATCATACAACCGTTATGGATCGATTAAAAAAGCTTGGCATGGTGAAAAAGCTTGATGTATGGGCGCCGCACGAACTGAGCGAAAAGAACATCATGGATCGGATTTTAATGTGTGAATCTCTCCTAAAACAAAACTCTCTAGATCCATTTCTGAAACGGATCATCACTGGAGACGAGAAATGGGTTGTCTACAACAACATTAAGCGGCGGAAGTCGTGGTGCGATCCGGGCGAGTCTTCACAAACGGTGGCAAAACTTAATTTGCATCCACAGAAAGTAATGCTATGTATTTGGTGGAACTATAAAGGAGTGCTGTGATTCGAGCTGCTTTCGCAGGGCCAAACAATAGATTCAAAGAAATACTGCGCTCAGCTCGACAAATTGCGCAAGGTAGTGCAAGAGAAGCGGCCAGAATTGTCGAATAGAAAAGGTGTGATTTTCCATCATGACAACGCTCGACCACATACTTCTTTGATCACGAAAAAAAAATTACAGAGTTTTGGCTGGGAAATGATGCAGCACCCACCATATTCGCCGGACCTTGCACCGTCTGATTATCACTTGTTTCGCTCGCTGCAAAACAATGTTGACGGTCATCAATTCGACTCAATAGAGGCCATCCGAAATCACCTCGTTGATTTTTTCGCCCACAAGTCCCAAGGGTTTTACAAGAATGGCATCAAGGCCCTACCGAAACGTTTGCAACAAGTTGTAGATCAAGACGGTCAACACATTATGGACTAAATTAATTTTTATAAATGTCGATTTTGTGTTTAAATTTTATACTAAAAATCCGCAGAACTTTTCCACCAACCCAATATATATTGCAAAATAACCGCTAAACGTTTTATCAACCTTGTGGTAATCATTTTATATATCCGTAAAATATGATTGCGCTACTTATCACGTTGACAAATCGAAATAAACTGTCGATAGTTTCGGTAATTGTAATAATAATTGTAATAATAAACAGATGAAATCACAACACAATACTAATATAACATAAAGGCACGTAACAAAGTAATTGTACGTATGTACATTATCCTCACTTCTTCTATTTTTTCTGCTCTATGCGGCATAAAACCCGGCGCGGCTCATATCCCGGAGTTACTTTATGTAAATTTACATTTTATTTATTGTTCGAAAGCCTAGTTTTTTACAGCATTCGCAACACACTTAATGTTAAAAGCAATACCGCAAGTTAACCTTTTTTTGTTTATAATATATACTTTCACATACAAACTGATTATTTAGAATATTTTACATCATCTCACTTTCAGGGTCAAGAATAATTCTATTCGTTTCTGCGCAAATTTCTCCGAGAGCGTTTCACTCGACGAGCGATCGAGGTGCTCTTTTTTTTTGGATTTGGCGTTAGTGAGCGACAAGGATTTCGCGTCGATTACTGCTGGCGTAGTGCGCCCGTCGGCAGCACGTGACAGATTTTATATACTGCAGCTCTTTTTGAAAGTTCCATTCCGTTAAATTTTGACGGCTAGAATGAATTGCGCCTTTTTGGAAACTTTAGAGAAAAGCTATATAATTTCCGCGAATTGGGATCTCTTTCGCGAGAAAATATGTATGTATGCGTTTATTATTGGCTGCCCCCGCGCGGCAGGGTGCCACGCAGTTGGTCTAGCGCGCTGCGCAGCTGCAATGTGCTTGCGTTTACACCGATTGTAGCGCGATCGGCTGCGCCGCGTTCAAATGTAACGAATTTATCTTCTCACCTTGTAGTTGTCGGATACTCGTAACATGTATTCTTAGATCTACTTTATACTTATTCACATTTGCTATATTAGATCACCTCAGATCTGTTCAGATCTGCTAGATCTAAATAAATCTGAGTAGATCTAAAGTAGATCTAATAATAAATAAAAGTGTAAATTTACATAGATTTCTCACACAGAACATGATGTTCATTAGAGATCCATGCAACATCTACAGCTCTATCTCCATGATGTCGGATGGATATCTGATGCATATCCATACTAAGGCCACTATAGATATCCATATGAAATTCAATATGGACATCCATTAGACGTATGTTACAGATATATAATAAATGTTTATTTATTTTTTTTCTTCAAAGACTTAATGGATTCTTAAATAAGTATATTTAATTTGCTTATTATTATTTAAATAACTGACCATTTATTATCGCATAAAAAATATTTATATAGCTCCGTGCGACATTTATCTCATGATGAATGACACAGATAGACGTGTAATAGATAGTTCATATAAAATCCATTATTTTTGAGAACTTAGTAAATTATAAAAAGTGTATTTATCATATCTTTTTAATATTTTAATATATCTTTTTTTACGCATAAATAACTTTATACATATAATGTATACATATTATATTACATATACAAACAATATATAATTATTATTATATAATAAGAATGATATATATAAATATGATATATAAATATGTATCCATATTTTCATACATTATTTGCTATATTATTATTAAGAATTGATTATAATAATCAGTATATGTTAACAAAAAATTTGTTTGCATTGTAACAATGTACTTTAAATTATAGTTAATAATAAGAAGAGAAATATTTTTATCTATTGTTGCAGGTACATTGCACTGGAATATTTTTAATAAAATAATAATTGAAATAAATAATAAATAAAATGTGTAAGATAGCTTGAGAATAAGTAGAAAAAAATAATTATATTTTAGGAAGAAACGAGTGGTCTCGCGGACTGAATGCAGGGGCTGCGAATATGGAAGTCTCGAGTTCAAATCCCACCATCACCTTAGGATTTTTTCCAGGCCCCAGTATCTTTCATCGAGTTAATTAGTTGATCAGCAAACTAAATTATGACTCCAAAGATGAATTCGAGTGAAATTTCGAGCTAATCTCCCTTTCACAAGGAGATGTGCCATTGGTTTTTTTTACATATATCATCGTAATATTACTGTGATGCATTTCGGCGGACATTTTAATATTACTGTTTTAGTACATTTAATAATTAATATTACGGTAATATTCCTACTATATTAGAGTGCAATATTGCATTGGAAAAACAATATTACTGTGATATTGCAGTAATATTATATGCTATGTGGGATGTCTACTGCATATCCATGACTGTCTATCAGTCATCTAAAAGAACGTCTATAACATATCTACTGCATCTCCATGGATTACCACGAAACATCTATGGAATACATCCATTAGACTTCCTATAGATGTTTGAAAAGTAAACTCTAGATATCTAATGGATATCCACTAAAAGTAACGTGAGCGTCCATTAGATGCTTCCAATTTCCATCATGGATGTCTAATAGATGTCCATTGGAGTGTTCTGTTCTCTCTGTATGGGTTACTTATCTTAGATCTACTTTATATCTATTTAGATTTAATTTGAATTTAATTGGATATATTTTTTCATTTTTTTATCTTGTTAGATTTAAATCAGATCTAATCCATTTTTTCCCAGGTAAGCACGTACTTTCCAAGCTTATCGTTATTTTTATAATTATTTTTTATTTCTTTTATACTAAACATTTATATATAATATTTATATATAAGACATTACGTCTAAAATATCATATATTATGTGTAAACTATAAACAATGAATCAAGAAATTATTATTTCATTAATAAAACTTTTTTTGTCCATAACTTTTTAACGAAGAACAAACGACGGCTAAAACTTTTCGATTGTTACTCAGGGACATGTCCTTGACAACATATGTTGAAGTCATTGAAATCAGTGAAATCGCTCTTAATATACAAATTTACCGAATACTCTCTTAATAAAAGAAATTATATAAAAGATGCAGAAACCTAAATCTTTGAGAAAAATTAATTTTTAAAATTGTATGATCATAATTAGTAAGTAGAAGTGTTCTTACGATATAATCTTACACACAGTCGGAGAGAATATCTCTTGAATATTTCCAAAATAACTTTCAAAATATGTTAAAAAAGCAAAATAGCTGTACAAGATAGTTTCTTCTCTTAGAATCGTTTTCAAGCAGCAATTGAAAATTTATAAATTTATTTATTTACCCTATATATAGTTTTCAAATCATCAAAATCAAAATTTTTGAGTAGATTTGCGAGATTTTCTTGTTAGTACTATCTGAAACATAAGAACTAATGTGTTAAGATTAACACTACATACAAGAAACAATAGTAAATCTAGTTTTATGATTACACTTTTGAAAAAAAGAATGTTTATTTTTACCATTCATGGTTTTCATTTCGATTAAATTTTGACATCAGCGCTTTCAAGCGATCTAAACGGAATCTAATATTTCCAATAAGTGAAACTTCCGATAAATCAGTAAGTTTTGGCAAAAATATGTGAATTTGATTTTCAATCCTTGTCCATATATGCACGTTTTTTCTATTAAAATATCAAAGTTATAATAATTGTTGAGTTATAAACTTTTAAAGATGACTTAGCAAGAAACTAATAGTTCGAGTATTCAATATCAAGCGTGACACAGTGATTTTTAATATGTTACATCCTGAGGACTTACAGTTCCTTTCTTGTTGCAACGTAATGTGCTGATACATATTAAAAAAAAAAATGAAATTTCTAAAATGACTAATAAACAGAACAGGGTGAAAAGCGGAGAATTGCTTGAAGAAAACACAAACACATATACAGAAAATATAAAATATAGAAAATTGATCCGCATTTAAAGTACAAAAAAAACCACGTCTAAATAAAATAGTAATAAAACAAAAAAAAGATCCAATAAAGATAAAATATCACATTGCTAAAAAACAAACAATGACAACTATTGTCATTGCGCCGAAAGAATTACTCTCTAATTTGACATTTAATGTGTTTGCGGTGTGTTATATTAATATTTGAATAGTTTTCGGGTTTGAACTGCTTTAGTATCATTTTCATACCAACGTTTCGTAAACATTTCAGTTCCCACACAGACATCCATCCATCCAGACATCTATTAGACATCTATTAGATGTCGCATGGAGCTGTCGACGTCTAATAGACGTCTAATGGAGTTTTTGTTCTGTATGGGTTTACTTCATCAGGATTTCAAAAGCAACGTGATACTGAGATGCTTTTGGCCAGTTGTTCTTTTTTATAGCGCTAGGTTACAGAAAAGGGAATGCAATAGAAAAGTGAGATAATGTAGTGGGAAGAAAGGGCCCTCGAAAATACATGAAATCCTTGGAGAGAGAGATATACAGAACAACCCGTTATTCTTGAAAATACATATTTTTGACTAAATTCTAAGACAACTTTTTATTTGATGAAGTTTTGAAGCTTACTTTTTGAGTTATTAATAAAAATAGATGAGACTTACCACGAGTCGGATATAAGAAGTAGGCAGGTGCGGCGCAACTTACCGTGATTGACAGTGATTTATGTGATGCACGGATTAAGTGATACAAATTACGCATGAATAAGTAAATAAGTGAGCGTAAAAGAAAGAAAGAGTGAGAGACAGAGAAAGATAACAGAAACAGTGTGATCAGCTGATCGCGTCAGGCACACGTAATTGTCCGAATCTGACGGTGAGTTGCGCCACCCCTCTTGTATCCGACTCGCGGTAAGTCAACTATTTTTATTAATAACTCAAAAAGTAACTTAGAATTTAGTCAAAAATATGTATTTTCAAAAATAATGGTTGTTCTGAATCAGCCTGTATATACAAACATCCAAACAATCTCAACCGAGACAATGGATAAATAATCAGTCTACTATAGCAATCCATCCTTCTATAACATTTC